AATAGATACTAGTAACCAACAAAAAATCACTACTGAATGTCATATCTCTCTCCTTTGTTGGTTACTAGTATCTATTTTCAGTAGTGATTGGAGAGAGATATAACAATAGATACTAGTAACCAACAAAATTCAGTAGTGATTGGAGAGAGATATAACAATAGATACTAGTAACCAACAAAATTCAGTAGTGATTGGAGAGAGATATGACAATAGATACTAGTAACCAACAAAATTCAGTAGTGATGGGAGAGATATGACAATAGATACAAGTAAATTCAGTATTGATGGGACAGATATGACAATAGACTGTCCCATCACTACTGAATTTTGTTGGTTACTAGTAGTTATATTTTGTTGGTTACTAGTATCTATTTTCAGTAGTGATGGGAGAGATATGACAGTAGATATTAGAAACTAACAAGATTCAGTAGTGATGGGAGAGATATGACAGTAGATATTAGAAACTAACAAGATTCAGTAGTGATGGGAGAGATATGACAGTAGATATTAGAAACTAACAAGATTCAGTAATGATCTGAGAGATATTACACAAGTAAATACTAGTACCCAACAAGATGAGCTACTCTTTTACCAACAAATAATGAGATTGACTGTAAAATTATACCACCCTCATGGATTAAAGGGCAAACTTATTCAGTACTGGGAATTCAAACCTGTGATCCTTATATTGTCAAACTCCTTAACCATCAGACCATGCTAGGCCCAAGAAGTAAGGAGTAGAAACCAATAAGATTATGTAGTGATCACAACACTTAAGAACACTAAAGTTTTGCTTGGAAAAGTTTATAGTCAAAAAAGTTAATACCCATATTATTATTATCTCAATTCTTTAGAATTTTATTTCAACATACAACAAATCTAAATTGGAAAATATGCTAGTGTTTTCCCTCAGAACAAAATACTTATAGATAATATACTAAACTGAGAGTAGATCAGGTACAATTAAATAGACATCAGCCCCCCCCCCCAAAAAAAATATTAAGTTTTACAGTTTGAGATTTATCAAAAAAAAAAAGATAAGAAATAAAGTAATAAATGAAAATACATATTTCATGGGTTTCAACATAACGTACCAGATGAAAGGATATTTAAAAATACTTCACAAGTCAAGGTTGATGGATTTAAAAAATACTTAGTACATTTCCTCTCCACATGACTATTGTGATTTATCGTAAGTTTTTTGGTTACACAAAGGTTTTCAATTGACATATTAATGTGACAAACTTGTTCCTTTTTCAAATGAATTACTATTACTTGCTAATTACAATTATACAACTTCTAAACATATATCAACCAACACCATAATATAATCTCAATATTACTTGACTGTGAAAAGATACATTTCTATTTAAATATGAGACCTAAGACTAGCAAACTGAGGAAGTATGATCAGTACTACTTTCTTAACCTGCTTTCTTGTTTGCTGTAGTATAGTGTCACACTACCCAGCAAGTCTTCATATTGATGATAAATACTAGTGAGAAACTGTCAATACTGTAACATATGACTTCATAATTAGTTATATACGAAATACAGTGTTTCAAATTCTTAACTTTTTTGTCCTAAAAATATCACATGATGTAGGGACCACCAGGCTTACCAAAAATATTATTTAAAAACAACATGTGCAGACCAATGGAATCATGTTTCTAATTAATTCTAGAAAACATTACATTTTCACAACTAACAGAACCATGTCGTAGAAAATCAACATGGTTTCATCAGTAATGTTTTCTAGAATTTTAATGCAGAAATAAACAATTTATGAGGTTAAAGTCTTAAAATCATCTAACCACATTTCTTCAATAGTCTTTGTTGTAACAGAGAATAAGTCTTGGAATCTTGAATTTAAAACAAAATCTAACATTCAAAAAGTCAATGTAGTGAGCAGTAATATCAAACTACATACACTGACAACTGTATTTACTTTGTGTAATCAATAATGTTGCCTACAAGTTACTAATATGCACATCAATGTTGAAAATCACAACATTCAACAGACCATGCAATATCATGTAATTACACTGACCTTACTAGTATGTGTTCTTTAATTAATTTCCAACTGCTGTGCTACCAAGAGTAAACACATTTCTATGAACACATGTGCTTTCAACAATAATTCTAAAACAAAATAAAATTACTAAGAAAACTCAGATTACACATTAAAGTTGCTCCTAGTACAGCACTGGTAAAAAACAAAAAATATAACAGTTACAAAGCCAGACTTAGTATACAATGCTTCACATTGTTTAAGTATACTTATCTTTAAAAGTGCATGAAAACCTGAACAAACCTGCAAGTCTAAGCTTAAGAATCGCTTTGCCAGGCTGTACAGTAGCACCATCTTCAACCAATATTTCTTCTATAACTCCTGCAGCTGGTGCATGTATTGGGACAGATGTCTTCAGCATAATAAAGAAATATTTTGTGTTGAAACCTCATTTATTCTTCAATCCTCCCATGTTTTTAAATTACAAATCTCCGATTATTTGAATATTATAAACACTTCTTCTTTTGCAGAAAATACAGAGTAACAAACCTCTCATTGTAGAAATATAGAAATTATACCAAAAGCATTATCCCACTAGAATATCCAATACCAGATAACAGTTTTTTCTCCACATTCGATGCTATTTAAGAATACTGTTTTTAAACTCCACTTAAGTGTACTTAGAAGCCTTAAAATAAATAGTTACTTAATAGTTAGGCCAAATAAACAAAAACATCCATTTGACAAACAAAACACTGGCCAATGAAATATTAAGATATTTTAAGATGGATGTTATTACATTTGCAATACATACTCATCAAAAATACAACCATACACTGGTAATGTTACTGTTCTTGGAATAAACAGTTGTGTTGTGCTATAGTGTGAAGTCATGATCTCTGATTACCTCTTGATACCCTAGAAAAAAATCCATACCCAGTGATATTCTCAGACATGAGTTAGAAAATAACTTTCTTTTTCATTAAATGTCAATGCTTTAGCAGATATAGGCTCAGTACAAAATTATGCTGTCTGAACATAGCTGTTGAACTGGGATTATATTCATTATTTTCTCCCATATCTTAAACATGGTTAAAATTTAAAATCATTTACTATCAGGTTTAATTTTGGCTAATGATGGTCTATCTGAAATGATTTAACATATCTCAATTTTAATTAGGTAACAATAACCTGTTACAAAAAAGAAAAAGTGGCTAAAGTGTGAGAAATATTTAATACTAATATACCAAGAGGCAACGAAGATCTTATTTCTTATTCTACTTAACAATATAATATATTTTTCTGTATCTTTTATGATCAAAAATGATATTCAACTTCCCTACACATCAGGGTATTAGCCAGGATTTGAAAATTGCTTGTCCAAATGTTTTAAAGAAAAAGAGAGTCAGAGGCTTGAGCTTTTTATAGGTATTTGGGGGCATACTTTTCATGAAACCTTTGAAATTTGTGAGCTTTGAGTCGCATCCTAGTAACTTTTTTTATATGTATTTAATAAAAACTTAAACCCTTTTACATTAATTGATTCTTGCTTTTTCCCATGTGTTTAATGAGTGAAATAGCTAACTCAAAAATTTTGTATTTGCAGACCTATATTTCAGTTGCACATCATATTTATGTTTATCACATTCAAACAACATACATAAGTTAGTTATATTTATTACATATAGATGATCTTGACCAAAGTACTGTAAGAAAAACTTTGTTAGCTAGCCTGACATAAGTAATGGTGATACCATATTGAAAGGTGAGGTCCATGGTCACCAATACATCTTTATCAGTTTTGCCATATTTTTTGTGATTTATGTGATATATGTTGGATATACAAGACTATTTAATGTAAGAGTTATTACTTAGTGATCTAATATTTTATGATTATTTAGTTTTCATAACAAATGTTAAAAGTAATTATTCTAAAAGGTGATAGTTATGACAAATTTCATTACGTAACTCGGTAAGAGTTGTACATTGTGTGTTAGTTCAATTGTTGTAATGTGACATCACATTACTCGAACCTTCTGTATTTATCTCATTGCCTTAAGTGAGTATTGTTACATCATCGTAGTTTGTAGCAAGTTCTAGTTCTCAGTTGAGCAAAATACCAAGTGAGTGAAATTTAAGTCAGAAAACACTAATTTTGTGAAAGTAAAGTTAGGTTGTGTGATTGTTATTTAGCTGTAACAGGTAATATTTTAAAGTGAGTTTCACAGTTTAACAGAGATAAGGAGAATAATTTGTCTTGTCAAAGGGTGTTCTAAAGTCATTGAAACTGCCTGTATGGACTTTGATGAAAAAGCGACAATCATTTAAAGTTCTGGATACAACTGTGGTAAACCACAGGGTAATGTAAGTGAAGTTTTCACTGATACTACTGTGATAAGAGTGGAGAAGAAATAATTTGTCTTTCTTGTCAATTGAGTTCTAAATCAACTGAACTGGACTTTTGTCAAGAAAAGAGAATTATATAAAGCTTTACATACAACTGTGATAACAGATATTGTACTGAGTTTTTCTTATACATATGTTTGACTTGTTTTTAATATATTATTTTAAAGCAAGTGGACTGAGTGCTGCCTGTTTATCGTTCAAATTTATCACCAACAAGTCACAGACACTTACTGTAAAGAACCTGACCCCATAAACTCAAAAGCCAGAAGCAGTAACTATTGGAATTGGTAAAATAAAATATCAAACAAATTATGCTAATAAATATCAAAATAGTTGAAACTGAATGGATATAGATAAAATGGTACTTTCTGATCAATGATATAACAAATTTAAATTCTAAGATGAAAAAAAGTATTTTTAATGTTTTTTCAAATTAGTGTTTCCAAACAGAATTTTGGAAATTTCACAACCTAATAAATAAAAGAAATACTGAATCGAAAGACATCAGTGACAACCCTCTGATCTCTACAAGATTAGTTTCATTGATACATTATCAACTGTATTAATTAAATTTCAGATTAACTTTGAAATAACCATTTAACTCAATCATGGTCAGGATACCATTAGATACAAGGAATGCTGAAGCACCAACAGTGTTAAAAGTACTGACTGGCATCAATGTTTGTAAACAATACTTAAGGGAGCAATAGAAGGAATACATTTTTTGTGTTGTACTGAAATTAATTTCATATTTTGTCAACCTTATCATCTGCCTGCTCAATTTTTTTTTTCTCCATTTGACAAATGACTGCTCATCTAAAACAGGGGTGGATGGGTCACTGACTAAAAACCTGCTACACGAAATATATTCCTCCCAAATAATCACACAAGAAGAAAGCAAGTAGAATAACAATAATTTAACTGAACCAAACATTTGCTTTTGAGAATGGAAATTAAAGACCTTGGTGTTGTTTTACACAAACATCTTTGGTCAACTCTTCTTAATACTCTCTACTCAAATTTCAAACACAGCCATTACAACTGGAAATTTATGCAAATATGGACTTCAGTGGTGAATTCACAAAAGTTCTACATTAATTTAATCTGTGTTCTAAATAAATATTAATATGAAATACTAATTCTGCTATTCTTAAAATCATATTTTACAAACTTGTGTAAGAAGTCAGAAATTCTTATATATCAAAACTGATCAGAAGTACAATTATCCCTATTTAAACTTTTGTGTACCAAAAATGTGATTTAACATTTATTTTATAGAAGTTTTAAGATATTTTGAAAAAAGATCTATAACAACTTTTTACACCATTATGGCAGTTCACTGAAGCTCATCTACTGTTTAATGTTTTTTGTTTACATTTTGAACAATCTAAGACATTCCTAGGATCTAAATAGAATAGTACATGTCTTAAGTTAGTAAGCCTAGACACATATAAGGAATTTTCTGCCATTCAAATACTTTAAGCCTAATTTGGCTTATGAAATACAGCTGGATAAGTAGTTACAGCCTTAGGTAGGACCATATATTTATACAAATCTGTAAACTGAGAGAATACAAATTTAGCCATAAGTAGCACTGTTTAATTACACTAATTTGTAAACTATGAGAATACAAATCTAGCCATAAGTAGCAATGTTTGATTGTACAAATATACAAAGTAAGAGAATAAGAATCCAGTCACAATTAGGACTGTTTAATTATACAAATCTATAAAGTGAGAGAATAAGAATTTAGTCACAACTAGAACTGTTTAATTATACAAATCTACAAAGTGAGAGAATAAGAATCCAGTCACAACTAGGACTGTTTAATTATACAAATCCATAACGTGAGAGAATAAGAATCTAGTCACAACTAGGACTGTTTAATTATACAAATCTATAAAGTGAGAGAATAAGAATCCAGTCACAACTAGAACTGTTTAATTATACAAATCTATAAAGTGAGAGAATAAGAATCTAGTCACAACTAGAACTGTTTAATTATACAAATCTATAAAGTGAGAGAATAAGAATCTAGTCACAACTAGGACTGTTTAATTATACAAATCTATAAAGTGAGAGAATAAGAATCCAGTCACAACTTGAACTGTTTAATTATACAAATCTATAAAGTGAGAGAATAAGAATCCAGTCACAATTAGGACTGTTTAATTATACAAATCTATAAAGTGAGAGAATAAGAATCCAGTCACAATTAG